ATTAAAGGAGCCCTGGTGGATAACTGGATAACTTCAAATACCTTGATGTTTACATCATCCTAGACACCCCACTGGTAAAGAAAGCCCATCAATGCCTCTACCAACTCAGATGATTAAAGAACTTCAAACTTCCACCCAGGAAAAACTTCAATAGAGAGCATCATTCCCAAGATAGGGAAGTGCACCCAACGGGACATATACATGAAATGCTGCAGATCTGAGCCAATAGGATCTCACCAGATCCCAGCCACCCGAAAAGACTGTCCACCAAACTTCCATCGATGAGATGCTACCATGTGCTGCTGCCAGGACAAAAAAAAACTGAGGAGGTGCTTTAACCCTGAAGCTGAACCATGTTGGGGGTTTTTACCACTATGCAATGCAAAAAAAAAAAAAAGCAATAATTTATCTATGACTATCAAATATACAATAAACATAACAACACGAAATATAAAGTATTAGAAAATATCAGGAGAAAGTAACGGACCCCTGGAGTTGTGTCACTGGTGTTACAGTGTAAGAATTTCCTAAAGTTCTATAAGGAATTGCTCGTGGGAAGAACAGAGTCTCTTCATTCATCAGAATTCTTCTCTGTTGTTTCATAATTTCATATGAAGGTTTTAGCTGAACTCGATGGTGTTGCTGTGTGTTTGCCATATTCAGCTTGTTAATAATTTTACATCCATCAAATTTCCAACAAATATTTGAACTGTTAAGCAAATAAATTGTGGCACAAATATCATACAATCACAATTACAACAAACCTGACTGAAAATAATACATCATAATGAATCATAATAAAAGATCCTTATTTGTTGCATTATTATTATTATTATTATTATTATTATTATTATTATTATTATTATTATTGATAATAATAATAATAATAATAATAATAATAATAATAAGTCAGCACATGCAGTCTGTAAGCAAATGTACAAAAACATTTTTTTCTCAAATCGTTAAGCTGACATTTTTGTGAACACATAAATTCAACACGCTAAATAAAGGTTTAAAGGTTATTAAGATGTTTGTTTTCCATATCCTATAAATCAGACATTTCAGTTTAATGACCCTGTTCCACATTAGCGTGCAATATAATGCAGTTAGAGTTGACTGGGGAGTAAATAGTAAGGGTGTTGCTGGTTCTGAAGTGCACTGGGATGTCCTATTTGTAGAAAATATTTGTGACTTTCTCTGAGACAAAAACTGGTTTATCTCAAGGACAAAACTGTCACACAAGCTAAGCCACATAGTGCATGCAGTACAGCAAGGAGGGCTCAGATCTGCACACAGGAGAAACCCAACAGTCGGTTCACAACAGGACAAGACCCAACTGTACATGTGCACCAAAAGCATGTGGGTCACTCTTTCAGTGATGCCAGTGTTCACATGATAGTCATGGTTTCATGATGGGTGATCAAAAATGGATCAACGACCCTCAGGACTACCTTCAAAGGATATAAACCCAACTAGAAAATTAAATAAGCGGGACTATACATCATTTCTTTTCTTTTTTTATAAACTGAAGCAACATCTTGGATGAGAGGTGAAACGTCTTTACAAACCTAAAGAAATCCAGTAGCCTTCTTTTTCTCCCAAGACTAACTATGCTGAGTTTCTTGGTTACCTAAACTTGAAGAAATAGCGGCTGTAAAATTAAGATGACTTCCTACACTGTATTTAAATGATACCCGGAATTCCCACCCTAATGATGCAGGAGTGGGTAACATAAAAAGCCAATCTGAGCTGGATTTTGTCCTTCTGCAGAGAGCGTTAGCGGTACAGCTAACCTGCCACTCGTATTGATGCACTTACCGTGAGAGTAACACCGAAGGTATACTCCTAATAAAAGAGACACCTGAAAACAAGAAGAGATCGCTTTACTTAAACTGTAGACGAGGTTTATTATAAATACAACGAAACTGTCAACTATTGGCTAATATATCTGCATTTCTCTCACCACGTCCTGTCATTGCAGCCGCCATGTTGGTTTTTTACGACATTCATGCCTTCGCTTTATGGCAGTGTCAATATCAGTCTATTGCGTTTTCACAACGCATGTAATTCTTTTACTTTAGTTATTTATTGCCATTTAAAAGGGAAATTAATAAATAGCTTTTGTTTTTGTTCAAAATAAATGTCGGAAATAATTGCTTTTAACTCGACAACCTGGGATTTTAGATTGTCCCAGCTAGGCTTCCGTCGTAAGCACCGGTAGGATTTACGACACCACGCTGTGTGTACGGTCATAAGTGTTGTAGCTACGATAGTGCAGGTAACATGTGAGAAGTTTGGATTAGGTTTCTAGGACTTTATTAAAGAAAAAAAATATTTTTAAAGTATCCAGGGCGTCATGCGGGAACGGTCGCTTCCCGCCTCTCCCAACTGGTACTGCTCGCGCTGCAGTGATGTCAGCAGCAGCGGTTTGCTGGGCGTCGGGGCCAAAAACGTCATCTACTTGATAGATGTGTCTGCATCTTCGTGCAGAGTAGCAGGTGAGTGAGCAGTCACCGCTGGACACCACACATAGCACAGACTTGATCGTGGCATTCATGTTTCAGTCCCTGCAGCCAGAAACACCGCGTTAAACTCAGGTACAACGTATCTGCCTGACCAAATCGGAGAGATTAGAGGATCTCGGGCTGTGATGGGCTGCAGTGACCATTGAAAGGATTTTACAACATTCGATGGAAATAAAAATGATGAACTTACCAAAAACACCCCAAAAGTCAGTGTGAAAAAATGCAGTGACAGGCTAATCCATCGTGGTAGTTTGTATGGCCCTCATGTGCTTGTATTAATTTCTGAGAATGTCAGGGCATGCTCCTAATGAGACGATGGATATCCTTTGGGATCTTTTCCGTGATCTGTACCAGGAGCTTGTCCTGGTCCTAGTCTGTACACCCAGGTAGCGTCAGGTTGAAGAAAACACAATGGCCAAAATGTGTTTTATTGGATTTAGGTGCGGGCCAGTCAGTGTGGTTTCTTCATATTCCAGGAACTGCCTGTATACTCTTACCACAAGAGGCCGAGCATCGTCATGCCGTTACCTAGCCTGAAGAGGTCTGTGCGTGCCTCCAGGGATAGGTCTCCTGAGACCATCACTGGCCCACAACCACACTGGTCATGCTGAATGATGTTACTGGCAGCGTAACGTTCTCCACAGCTTCTCCAGAGCCTTTTATGTCTGTCACATGTGCTCATCTGTGAAGACCATAGAGCACCAGTGGTGGATTTCCTGATTCTGCGATTCTCTGGCAAATGCCAGTCAGGGTCCATTACGTAGAAGGCCCTGTAGAGGACATTGGCAGTGTCCAGCTCTCCTACAGTATCTTTGTGTGTCCTATAATCTCCTCCATGTTCTTGAGACTGTGCTGGGAGACACTACAAACCTCCTGGCAGTGAAACTTAGTGATGTGCCATCCTGGAGAAGTTGGAGTACTTG